TAAAGCATTAAATGGCCAAGCTCTGTCTTATATCAGTAGGTTTACTAGTGGTTCCTAGAATTTCTAAAAGTAGAATGGGAGGCAGATGTTTTACTTATCAGGCTCCGCTCCTATGGAACCAACCTCAGTTTTAGAACATAAGGCAGACACCCTGTCTACTTTTAAGGCAACGCTTAAAACTTTCCTTTTTGATAAAGTTACAGTGGCTGAGTTAATCCTGAGCTGCCTCTATAGTTATGCTGCTATACTGTAGGCTTAGACTGCTCTAGGACATAGGGACCCCTTGTCATCATTCTATCTTTATTCTCCCATTCAGCAGTATTTGTTAGCTCAACCTCTAACATTCTGCTCTCTCAGCTTTTTCTCATCTAAGTAGCTTTATCTGAACTGTTCCTGTTTATTTCTTAAATCAGGACCTGTCATTTAAATCCCACATCAAAGATTTCTAGAATATCCTTCTTTCAGCTCAGGAATATTGAAAGAAAAAGAGATATTCTGTCAATGGGTGATGATGAGAAACTGGCCTATACATTTGTTAGTTCAAGGCTGGACTGCTGTATTTCTTTACTATCAGGAAGTCCTAAAAAATTGCTTAAAAGCCTTCAGCTGATCCAAAACGCTAAAGCCCGAGTTCTCCTATGGCTTCTCTTCATTGGCTTCCTGTTAAATCCTAAATAGAATTTAAACTCCTCCTTCCCACACACATAGCCCCTGTTTTATCAATCTGATCATTCCTTATGTTTAAATTTCAACAATAAACAAAAAATTTCAGTAGGGGTCTGCATGGACTTTTTTTTTTTAATCTTAACATCTATAACTTCTCAGTTGCTTTTTGGATGGACACCAAACATACTACATATGTAACCAAGATGTATCTATTGAATTTTTTTTATGTTTACTTCCCTCGTTACAAAAAAAATAATGAGTTTTGTATGTAAACCTATGTTTTAGGTCGAACTTTTTTTTTGGCTATTTAAATAAACTTTACATGAACCTAGAATAATTTTCTTTCTACTTTTGACACTTACACTCACTTCATCCTCCAGGACCTTTATGTTGGTTGATTTTAAAAAAAAGCCCTTATAAAGTATGAAAATAAACTTGCACACTTAGAATTAGGCTTAAAATTTTCCTTTTTATTAAATCTTATAGTTAGAGTGGCTCAGGTTATCCTGAACTATCTTTATGGTTATGCTGCTATAGGCTTAGACTGCTGGAGGACATAGGGACCCCTTTTCATCATTTTGCTTCATTCTTTCTCTATTATTCAATTCTGTTTTCTACTTCGAAGCAATCAAACTGTATGATCTGGTTGAAATGTCTCTGTAAAGTGCCTTGAGATGATATGTTTTGAATTTGTACTATATAAATAAACAAATTCAGAAAACAAATTTTAACAATTTATACTTTTACTGTATTTTCCCCTGATCTCCCAATATCTAGTCACTACCCACTATCACTACCCACCTTTGCTTCCACCTACCTATGTCTCCGTCACATACACAAAATTAGGTTTATTTTTAGGATTGATTGAATGATTCAATTAAATCACAGTTTAAGAGGGATTAAATACATAAATAAATCTATAAAACAAAATATTGCTATTCTATCAGTCTATTGTTGAAGTCTATTTACTCAGTCTATTTACTCACTTCCTCCTAAGGGAAACTGTCGTCATGGTAAGAGGAACACTAGTAATTTTCCTTCCTCTAAAAAAGCCAAAACTATTGTTTCAAAGAAACAAAGCACAGTTAAAGAACCAAGAGTAAATTTAACATGAGTGTGATCCTAAATAGGGCAAAGGAAAAGGAACAAAGGTCTGAAATAAAGACTGCTCTTCTCTAGGAATGCTTTGTTTCCTACCTGAGATGAGTCCAGATCCTTTTCTTGTTCCAGCGAGTCTGAAGACGGAGCTTTGGACACCTGTGTGAGAGAAGAAAGTCAGTGAAAACCCTGCTCTCTGAGACCACTAAGCCAGGAAAAGACTGCAGTTACCTGGGAGGAAGACTTGAAAGGGTTCACTTTCTGCATGACACCTTTCAGTTTCCCAGGGTTCTAAAACAGAAGTGATGTTTATTCTTACTGAGCTGAACTGACTTAAAAGTTTCCATAAGGAGTGAAAGTGCCTTTTGGTTCATCTGCAATGCATTTTGTTTTTTTTTCACATGAAACGCTTCTAACAGGCCTGATATATTCCCATTTAATTACTAAACTTGAAACCAAACTACACCACCTCCAGATGAGGTAACCTACAGTATTTACATGGAATTACAGTTTGCCTTTCTAAACCATTAGTCAGGATAAGGTTTTAGTGTTATTAGAATTTCAATTAGCTTGTTGCAAAAAATAAAATTGGTTAACAGTCATTTGTAACAGTCATGAATTATGGGACCACATGAAATAAAAATGGAGACTTGATGACCAAGTTCAATGCTAAGAACATTTTTTACTCCACAGATGATGTGTGAGTCTGTTAAACCCTAATACTACCTGCCTGTTGCATGTCAGAACTAATGTTATCTCATTAGTTTATCTAATTAGGACACTTCCTCTGTCAGGCTAAAAGGTCATCTTCATTATGTTTGTTGCAACGATTTGGTAATGGAATGAGAGCGGTGTCCTTGATCTAAAAAACATAGTGTGATATTTTGATGAGGCTGGAGCCATGGATGTCTTCTCATTTATAAACAGTGTTGGGCATGTTACTTTGAAAAAGTAATTAGTTATAGTTACTAGTTACTTCCCCAAAAAGTAACTGAGTTACTAACTGAGTTACTCCACAATAAAAGTAACTAGTTACTAGTAAAAGCAACTATTGCGTTATTTTTGCGTTTCTCGCCCCGGTAACCCTCACCATCCGCCCCCACCTTCTCGCTTTGTGTTTCAAAAGCCAGCTGAATAGAGTTTATGACAAAGACAAGAACCTGCAAAGAGTTTTGCGTTTATTGCAACTAAACGTAAATGACATCAGAGGGGAACGGTATCTGACGGGCCAATAAACCCCATCAGATAGCGTTCCCCCATCTTAAAATGGGGGGAACGGTATCTGATGCGATGTAAATATCATCAGGCTGCATTACCTCTAGTCATGGGTGTGAAGTTTTTTAACAGGGCGTTCAGATCTGGTGAGTGTATGAAATTAATAACTGGGGATATCTAAATCTGAAATTCTGTGTGTTTGGGTTGTTATAGATACTGCAACATCCATCTATCTATCTGTCCATCCAGCTATCCGTCCATCTATCCATCCAGATTTCTCCCTTTCTCCATATAGACTAACATTTAATCGTTCAAGCTCTCCGTAGCTTCCCTGTAGCGCGAGCACCGGGCGGTTGTTACACACCTTTAGCGAGCATGCGCGTTTCCTGTCGCTTGCGCTGTGAATCGTGCCGCCTGCGCCTTGCGGAGATGCAGGGGAAACCGCATCTGATGGGGAAACGCAGCTCAACGTTACATCAGTATTTCCATCTGGAAACACTGTTTTGCTGCTGGAGTCCTCCTCACTCTCCATCTTTCTGTGTGTGCTGTACGTTAACACCCACCAGCAGAAACACCCACCTACCCAACTGACAGACGGAATCTCACTATACATCAGCCAATCTCATCCTCCCCTCTCTCATGACAAGGCGCGCACGAGTCCTATCATGAAAAATAGGTTAATAGTGCGACCTGAGTAACGTGCAGTTACGGGGTGTCAGCAATGGTAACTGCGTTATAGTTACAGTCAAAGTAATTAGTTAGATTACTCGTTACTAAAACAATGGAACGGCATTAGTAAAGCCGTTACTTTAAATGCTGTTACTCCCATCACTGTTTACAAAGATGTATGATGTACTGATGGGATGACGTGGCATACTGGAATTATATAAAATGCTTCTTTAACAAGATGTATGCCTGGTTTGTGAGCGCTGCCTTCTGTAACTCTAAGCAACTTCTCTAGATAGACTAAGATTATAGTTTCAGACAAAATCTCTACTTTTACTTATTTCTATTAGAAAATAGAAAGCAGTTATCTAAGAAATTACTTATTAGTAAAAAAGTACCTGTTAATTTGTTATTTTTAACACCCAACTTAATGTTAAAATAATCTAATCAGACACAGATTTATGTATAAATTAACATGAATCCAAAATAAGAAATTCAGGGAGAAGAGATATCTTTTCAAATCCTTTTTTTTAACATAAACTTATAAAACCAGTCATAACAGTAGGTTATGTATGTCTGGAAAGGAAAAAGAAGTTCTAGAATCAATATCTACTGTTTACTATAGTTTCACCTGATCTCTAAAAAAAGCTCAAGTTACTGCAGGTGGGTGGAGGAATTACAAACTTAATAGAGTGGCGATACTGTCACAAGATTGTTACTGAATTCAAGTGGAAAATTACAGAAAGTAACACTACAGCTAAAAGTACAAGCTAAACTATAGCTTTTTTTTTTCTTTTTCTTTTTTTCTAAAAGTTAGGTAAATGTATCTTGTTACTCCCCACCTGTGATTCTAGGGCAGCCATTTTCTTTCCCTCCTAAGGGAGAACATAGTGAGAAAACAAAGCTGATCTCACCTGAGTGGAGTCCGTCGCCTGTTCCAGTGATTCAGAGGAAGGAGTTTTGCTGATATTCGACACTGATGAGGAGGTCTGAGTAGCAGAAAAAAAAAACAAGCTGAAAACTGAAAGACAATGGGTGACACACAATATCATATGTCTTCAGGAAAGGTTTGTGGTTCTACCTGTGAGGTGGATTTGAAAGGATTCACCTTCTGCACAACCCCCATCACTCCTGTTCTCTGCCGTTCCCGAAGGAAACGCAAGAAAACATCCATAAACGACAGCAAACATTAAACAAACAATAATGGGTCCATGGATTAGAGGAGGCTCACCTTTGTCTTTGGGTAGAGATCATCTGTGTCTTCTCTGTTTTCCTAGAAGAAAGGACATATGCAAGGTCACCATCTTGCCCAGTTTCATTTTCATAATAATCTTTTAACACTTACCTCTGAGGCCGCATTTGATTCTGGATCGGGTGTTTTTATGCTGTATCTGATAGGATTTTCCAGCTCCTGGAAATAAATAAAAAGGCCTTTTTTATGAGAAATACAAACTAAATAGATATAACATTACGACCAATGGCAGCTAAGGTGAGAATGAAAAGACAAAAAATAAACATTATCCAGACCTTGTCAAAGTGTTCAATAACATCTGTATGAATGCAGACCATTGGAGAACCACTGTGCTGGGATTAATGGACATTAATGCTGCATTCCACATGGTTGTTAGGATAATTATAATTGATGATGTGTTCTTACACCCCAATATTACCTGCATGTTGCATGTCGGAACTGAAGTTTTCCCAGTAGCTTATCTAATTAGGCCAGTTCCTCAGTTAGGCTATATACAGTTGTAATGTTCATTTTGTACGTGGCAAAGATTCGGGAATGGAATGAGAGCGGTATTCTTCAGCTAAGAAACAAAGTGTAATATTTTGATATGGCCGGAGCCATGGATGTATACTCATCTGCAAACGTGTATGATGTAGTGATGTGATAACGTGGCATACTGAAGTATAAAATGCTTCTTTACCCGTTTGTCCGGGATACTTCTCGAGAAGTGAGCTCGGTTGGTTAGCAGCTGCCTTCTGTAACTCAAAGCAACTTCTCCGATCTAAGTAAGATTACAATTTCTGTAAAAATCTGTTGTCATGTCTCATCGTTATTTAACACATATAGGTTATGAAGTGTCATTCAAAGAGTTTGTCCTGAGTGATCTCATTTCAGGAAAACGAACCGGAGAGAGATAGCTTCAAGGTGTAGACAAAAGAGCTTTCCTTTGACACTGTTGATCATTTCCTTTTATTATAGCACCTATAAAACTGGTTCAGCCTTTCTGGTACAGCACTGCACCGGTTTGAATCCTCATTGAAGGACAGGGCCTTTTGGTGTCAATCAGTAACTTTATGTCAGAGACTACAAAAATCCCTTGTGGCTTTCCCCAAGGGTCCATTTTAGGGCCACTTTTATTCAATATCTACATGCTCCCCCCAGATCATGATGGACCTTCAAAAACACATAAATTCAGTAACCAGTGTCGACCCTCTATCATCTAAAGCACATCTACATGGTTAAAGAACCAATGTCTTACAGGACCTTTAATCTCTGGCTCCCTTTATCTGACAGAAGATGCTTCTAAATAATTAAGTCAGTCTAATAACCACTGAATGCCTTAGCACCCAAAGACATTACAGATTTGCCCAGACCATTCAGATGTTCTGGCTCGAATCTACACAGAACAAACCATAAAGAAGCAGCTTTTAGTTCTTAGTTTAATTCATTAATCTGGAAAAAATAAAAAATAAAAACTCCTAGGAAACTTTAAAAGTCCTTTGAAATCCTTAGTTGCTACGAATTGTTCATAAAACGTATTTGTTTAGTGGCCTTTGACAGCTTAATATTAGCAAGGTTTTAACATTTAACATGTATTAATCAATATTTTTAATCAATATTTTTATATTATTTCATTTTAGAGATTAAAATAGGATGATTAACTTTATGTCACTAATGTACTTTTCATTTTTCTGCTCCATGTAAGGTAGATTTTTTCCTCACTAGTGAAATGTGCCATTTAAATAAACTTGCCTCATCAAGGTGTGGTTCAGTCTGCAGTGTGCACCATCAGGCATCCGGGTCAGAGGTAGATGGCCTGAGTTTTTGTGATGCAACAGACCAACCACTCTGGCTCCAGTTGTAGAAGTCAACCCAATTTCTGATAAAAAGGAGTCTAACTAAATAGCACACGGCATTTTGTTGTGAATGGGGCTGTAAAGCAGTCATGCTACCTCTGCTGACTCATGACCCAACCGCTAAAATGTCAACAATGAGCCTGTAGGCACCAGAAATACAGCATGGAGCAACAGAAGGACGCTGCCTGATTTGATGAATCAGGTTTTTGGTTTTCAAGCATCTGGATGGCACCAGAGGTGAGCTACGAAAGGCTGTCCTGCATTTCCAAAGCATTCAATCATTTCCAAAGTTGGGGTCCTTGATCAACCAGCACATGGTCCTGAGATCCGCTACAGAAAGAACATGCATATTTAAGTGCTAAAAGAACCTGAAGCATCACTGAAAATGGACAAAATCAGCTATTATGTTTGACACTAATATTATGACACCCATCATTAATTCATATCAATAAAATGTTTGTTCACTAAACCAATGGTTTGGGTCATCAGTCAACATTCTGTAGGTCAGAAGCTGAATAGTTTGTGAACCTCTGCTGTAGATCATGTACAACCACAGACGTAACTTTCTGAAGGACTGGTGTGGACATGTCCCCAACAATAATTTCAGCTTTTTCCCCCCCCATTTCCGCTCATTTCCTTTAGCCAAAGGTGAAAAAGGATCGGTGCAGCCGTGTTCGGAACGTATTGAGTCTGTGTTTTTTCCTCTCTCGCACTGCTACCATGTCCCGCCTATCAGTGTAACATCATCAGATCTGTCGCTTTGAGGCATCTAATTTGCAGTCACATTTCACTGCGTACAGAGTGGCTACGTGGTTGGAGGAGAGAATCAAAGCAGCATTAACTGACAGCTTCTTTGATGTATGTTTAACTAAAACTTAGGAGACGGCTTGGTTAAAAAAAATTAGATATCCCATGAAGAATCCTAACCGTAAATCATACGGAGCTTTCTCAGCTAAAACGGCAACAAATTACACATTTATACAGTGTAGTATTACAATGTAAGAAACTTGAGAAGCTATAGTTTGTTCTTTAGTAGTTAAAAAAAGCTTGGCTTCCCAGAGGACCATGACTCCCAGTTACAGGATAAAATTAACACGCACAATCAGACAGCAGAGCTTCTACATATCTACAAATTTTGTTTCCAGCATCATTATATAAGTAAAGAGGTTCATAAACCTTTTTTAAACAGAGCACAGAGAGAATTAGGGAGAGCTGCAGATTTAAAGGTAAAACAGATTTACTGGGCTATGTGACATGCAATAAAATATACTTCTAGGTTTACCACAAAGTTTACAAGAAAGAAAATCTGCTATATTTAAAATGCAGCATATTCATATTTTTCTGGATGGATGGAATTAGAATTGCACTTCTAGGGATTTTGGCATCGGCATCGGCTGTTATTTACGATTTTTTTTATCTGTTATTTATTTTTAATATAATGTACTAAAGGGCATCTCTCTAACTATCTATAAATATAAATATCAGCATATTATGGTTTTCTTGTGTTCTCAACAATAGGAAAGCATTCAATAAATATATGTTTGAGCTCATTTTTGGAAAATACAAACTGTAGTAACTGTAGGTCCATCAGCCCCCACCTAGAGAGCGCCCCCACCAATATTCATCACAAAGTTACACCCTTGTGTAAAACCATTCAACAGGGAGATTTTCCTTAATGGCTGTTAACCTCTCAGCAGGATAACACATCCTGGAATTATTCCAGAATGGTTCATGACATTTTAGAGGTTAGATTTCGCACCATCAGGGGTCTTTGCTGCCTATATACCTTTTGTGTAAGGTCAGAGGTCATAATGTAAAGCCTGATTGGGCCTCAATGTCCTGGATTCTCACCTCTTTAGTGGGTCTGGGTGGGACTTCAGGGCTCTGGGCTGACCCCTTACCTCTTCTGAACATGTTCATGGTGCTGAAACAGCCATAAATAATGAGGTCATCACATCAAATAGACATACACATCAGTACTTCATGACACACCAAGATATCTTCGATAGGATATTTCATTTCAATCTAAAAACAGAGGCTGATTGTTGATGTGGGGTGGAGGTAAGATCGATCTGTTGATAATAACACAAAGAAATAAATCTCTTTTAACAGGAGGAAATCTAAACTGAGCAGGTGTGCTTTTCGGATATTTCCTAACTTTTCCTCCAATCTGCTTTCTGCAGTGATCTTACATTGCGTTACATGCGGAGGAATGCGGGGCAACAGAGAAAGCAAACTAAGCGAAAACAGCCTACCTCAGCCGAGCAGTCAGACAAAACAACAAATGCCTATAAAAGCAGGATTACAGCGAAACAACACCAGAGGAGTTGGTTTAACTTGTTCAGCTCAGTCCTTCACTTCCTTTTCCTCCCAGAGGTGAGGAGGATAAACCGGTTTAACTGGAAAAAAAGAGGCGGACCCAAACAGGAGTCACATTACCGACCGGAGCGGCTCTAATGTTCAGTTTCGGAAAATAAAGCTGAACAAAAGCTTTACTGTTTGGGTTCAATACTTCCACTCAGCTGTGGGAAGTCTGACTTTGACAAGGTAGCAGCAGATCACCTGTAGGGGGCGTGGCCTATCCTGCAAGTCAAACTTGGTAAATCAGCTGCTCTATCATCACTCAGGGGCGGAGCCAGATGGGGGCCCAGGGGTGGCCATGGCACCCTTAGCCAATCATTGGCCACCCCTGTGGCCACCCCAACCATTTTTACCCCCCTTCTAATAAAAATGGTGGCAGCAGTACTACTCTAACGTGGAATATTTAAAACATTTACATTTTTATATATTAAAAATTACTTGACAACAAAAACATTGCGGTTAATTCTGCACAGCAATATACTAACATTAAAGATGATAAGTACAGAATTCATGCTTTTTTCAGAACTAGATTTTGTGTTATATGGGGTAAAGAGAACATTATGTCTCTGCAAGTCATCTAAGAGTCTTCAGTAAAGTTATTGATAAATAGCTATTATGATAAAAGTTGTAGAAAAGTATAGTTAGTCTTTATTTAGAAAATATGGATGTTGTGCCCGTTAATTTTCCTGTTGTAGATTGACCCTGAGGTTCTGGTGCCTATCAACTTTCAACCACCCCTCAGTTTACATTGGTTATTGCCTGACCACCCTTAAGAAAATTTCTGGCAACACCTCTGATCACCCTAACTACAACTTTAAAACATTAGATATATTTTGATTTAAATATAAAAGTCTGAGGTGTGTTATGCATCTTGGTAACCAGTTCCTTCTGTGCCATTACTTCTTCAGCTGCAAGACTTTAGTACAGGGGCCTTCAAAGTTTTCCAGGCCAAGGACCCCCAAACTGATGGGGAGATGGAGCGGGACCCTCTAATTTTGTATATACTGTATGAAATTGTGTTATATCAAACTGGTCCTATAGTCACTCTATTACATATGGAGTAATGTAATGAAAGTAATTTAGTTCTGGGATTATTAAAGTATTTCTGATTCTGATTCTATAAATATAAATATCTGAATGGTGAATTCATTATTTTAAATCTACTCACAGTTTTTCTTCCAATATTTTCATGTTTTATAGTTCAATCCACCTTGCCATTATCAATCCATCCATCTTCTCACGCTTATCCTTCAGGATCATTGTCTCCAGCAGTCTATTGTTTGTTTGTATTCATGACTAATGGGAACATTTCATTGACTTACATTCATTTTACGTGGCCTAACCCAGACACTTACCCTTACGTAATCCTAACATCTGGGTCAATGGACCTTTTACCTTACCCTAATTTAATACTTAAACCCTAATCTCACATTTAAATATCTTACCAGTATATTCTTTCCTTAAAGGAATAGTACACCCAAAACATGATTAGCTTTCATTTTCTACTCACCCCCATGCTGAACAACACCCTGGAGTACTTTTTTGATATCTCAAATGCATCTGGAGATCTGGGAGGCTTCTTGCTGTCTGCTGACATTCAAATAATGGAGGTCTATGGTGCCCGAGACAGAAAGGTCCCCAAAAACGTTTCAATAGTCCACCATACTGCTCGTCCAATGTATTCCAAGTGTCC